GGGACTTTTATTTTTTTTATTTTTATTTTTTTTTTGCTGCTTTATACACAGGAATGATTTATTTTACACATTAGTCACGACATTTAGCCTGTAAAAATTAAAAACATTTCTTAATATGTCTCAAAGGCATAATGAATTCCATAATGATGTTTTCACATTAACCAGTATGACAAAGCAGAATTTAAGACTATGATAACAATTCAAAATAAAATTTACAAAACAGGCACTTGGAAGTCAGCTACTGTGTAATTTTCACAGTTGATGTTATTTGTACACATTTCATCAAAGGTTATCAACCAGTGAAGCCAATGTTCCTTTGATGCAGACTCACAAACAGGTTTAGGTTCCAAACACTGTGTTCTGGTTGTGATACATGCAAGACAGACCCTAAATAAGAAAAGTCTTCTGAAAGAAAAAGAAGAAAAACAAAAAGCAGCCAGGAATGAAAGCATTTACAAGCATTTGAATAAGGCCTTTAAATATTAAGTCAGTGTTTTAAACCCCTTCATTCTCAGGTAAGGGATTAAGAGGCTGAGAGAGAGATCGTCTGCGAGGGTGAGGATACTGGAGGTTGGCAGTGTCAGCATCGCAAGAGGGCTCTAGCAGAGGAGGAGGAGGAGGAGGAGGAGGAAGGAGCTGGGCATAACTGGACCATCTCGATCCAGCCCGTGGGGAATCCAGAGGGGGAAAGAAATACCTGAAACAACGGAGACAGGAACAAAACACCAAAACAAAACAGGAAAAAAAAAAGAAAAGAAAAAAACAAAACAGAAGAAAAAGAGAAAAGTAGTAAATACAAAGAGAACCAAAGAGGAGAAAACACATGCTGGAAAAAAAAAGCTTTAGTATATTCATGCCAAACTAACAGAACATAATAGCACAAACCAAGACCATTACTCAAATCAAGACTGCTTAAGCAAGTATAGAAACTTGAAGGGAAGAAATACAATCTGTTAAAATATCAAAGAAATTATCAGTATGAATGTTACAAAGACATTAATTTTATAAATTTAAAATGTTGTCTAACCTCTCAGAAATATGTCTGATGCCGTTCTGTAAATTGGCAATCTAATGTGCTTTCTCGCTGAGAGCAGTGCTCCATCTGTAGCAGCAGCAGGCACACGTTTTTTTAGTGCATACATGATACTGAAAACCAATTTGAATACACTTTCACATTGTATTTCTGGCTATTGCAACATACTTTTGAAGAAATACAATCATTAAATATACTTATTTTTCTGCAAAAACCTTAAAATAGCTACAGAATTTTGATATGTAAAAGGACTCAAAGAATTATTATGCCCTATTATCATTATTGCGCCATTGTATAACTTACCCGTAATACTTATGCATTTTAGCAAATGTAAAGATTTATAGCCATGTCATCAAGATCAGAGCCTTAGAGGATATGAACAAACCAAAACAGCAAACTAAAGGAAGTCCTGATACATGGGATTTGTAAGTTAATTTGCATGCACACTTTTAGCAAAACTGTAACTGATTATATTTCCAAATTGTGTCTTGAAGGAAACTTTAAGCCATGAAATCACATCACAAAAATATACATGCACATATCAGAAACATTTAAGTCTTTAGTGAATATGATTGGAAACATATAAAGCTGTTTCCATTTCCCACCAAATTATGAATGAAACAATACCAAACACTCCACTTGGCTACAAACTGTACAGTCAAATTACTTTCATCTTACTAACACTACTTTGCTAATTTCCTCATTTACTACTACTTTTTAAATATTACAAAGGAATGACAGTTGTATGAAATAATATCATTTATAAAGCAATTCTACAAAAGGTAAACAAATTAGCACTCAAAACAATCTTTATGAAAAATATTTATTCAATCTTCGAATTAAAATTATAAAAATTCATCATGTTTAGCTTATTTAGAAAACAAAAGAAATATATCTATATTCTCCAAATGGAATAAAATGGTATCTTCCCTCCTCCCAACCAGTTATAAGGATTTAACAATCCTTTTAATTTTCAAATCCAACTGAGTTTCAGCAACATTTCAAAAAATTGTTTTGGTGTCAATGTCTCAACAAAAAGCCTCTCCATTTAAATCTCAAGAGTTTCAAGACTTGGGACTTTTAAATAAAAGTTTAATTATCCTGCTATTTAGGTGGACTCTACAAATTATCTATTTCATCTTGAGAAAAGATGCCGTTTTGTGGATTTTAAGGAATTATTTTTATCTAATTGGCATATTTATAAAGTTATTACGAGTGTTGTAATTAGCACTTCAATAATATCTATGAGTCCTAATGTGAAATTTCTTTTGTTTCTCTTTTTTACTATTTGTAATTTATCTCGTTTTATCTTCTTAATCATCTACTATATATACACATATATTATTAAACTTTATAAACACAATATGTAGTTTTGATTATCTTTCTTTTTCCTAAGTTTCCAATATTATATATATATATATATATATATATATATATATATATATATATATATATATATATATAAAATATATATTGAAGGAAGAACAGTAGAATAGAGGAAGCCAAATACAGAAAGGAGGAGGGGAGGGAAAGAGGAGGCACTGGGGACTGAAATGGACCAAAATGAATCCATGCAAGTAGGATAATGTCAAAATAAACCCAACTATTACTTATAACTGTAAGGCAGTTATGAAACCATTGAAATTGATGATACAAAAACCTGGAAGTAAGAAGATAAATACAATATTAGTGAAACCCTCTAGTACTTGGCTTTTTGTGTAGTGATTTGTTTATTATTAATTCATTTACTTTTTAAAAGTCTCCATAGATATTTTACTTCGTATTATAGCATGTCATTCTAGTACTTGATGTGTCTAAGTTAATTGTTTCCTATAAAATTGTTCAGATTATTTTTATAGTAATTTTAATTTTTTTTTCAGAATCTGTTGTAATATATACAAAATCAAATTTTATAATTATTGTTTTAAAATTACTACTTTAAATTATTTAAAAGGGAAAATAGAAAAAGTATTTAAACACTATGTCTTACTGGTGTAATTACCGCCACAAAGCTTTCTTTGTTTTTTGTAATTTTGACTTGACATATGGTCTCACTCCCTTCGACTAAAATACTTTATTTAATATTCCTCATAGTTCAGGGCTCATAAACAGCAACTTGCTGTTGTTCATATTAATTTTGTTTCTGTGTATAGCTCATATTTTCTTGTTTTCTACATCTCATAAATTCTGTTTAAAACTGGACAATTTGTCTGACATACTATAGCAACTCCAGATTCTGGCACATGTAGGAAGGGTTGTTGTTGTCTTTTGTGTGTTTGTTTAGTGTCTTGCCTGGACTAATTTTGTGGGATCTGTTTTATTTATGTTGTGAAACTATTGATAAAACCTGATTGTTCTTATTATGATTATTATTATGATAAGTTATGTTCCAATGTCTGAGTTCAAAAATGTCTATCCCTCATTGGTCAGTATAGCTTAGTGATCAGCCAATGAGAGTGTCCTTAAATATGCTAGCCAAGAGGACTTCCAATATTTATTGATTGATGGATTTGTGGCTGGCTTGGAAAATGTATTAAAACTTCAGAATTTTGAAAGGGTTTACTGGATTTTACTCTCTGCTTTTACACAGTCACATTCATCTGGATGCCTCTTGGGACAGTCTAGCAGGCGTTTGGCCTTGCACTCACACCCAGTCATTCAAATATCTACAATAGTTAGGATTGCAACAGTACCCACTTTCATTTTCTCATTTCCAGAAACTTCTGTTAAATTGTTGGCTATTCTGTCCCAAAGTCTATGGTCACATGGTGTAGCTATAATCTTGCCCCCTCCAATTGATGATTTAATAAGAACTGTGGAAATTATTCAAACAGGCTGATTGATGTTACAGGAACCTTACACTGTATAAATCAGAAAGCAGCTAAATTATCTGGCATGTAGAGTACTAGTAGATCTTCTGTTCCATGTAATTGAAAGTGGTTAATAAGAAATGCCTGTGCCAAACAAAGCAAATTTTCACTCTTCTTATTTAGGTTGCCTTACTTTTCTTAAACATTTTATGCACACAAAAACCCTAAAACATAAAACTCTTATTTCAAGAAATCAAATTCAAAATGCGTTATGGATTTAGTTGTAGAATTTTTTAAAAATTAGAGTTGTTGGAAGAAAATATATGAGAAAATATGTATGATCATGTTTAGGCATATATCATACATGTTACTGAAATCACAAAGGACAAAATAAAATGTTTTCAGAGTTTATATTTATTGGTTAGGAAAAGAACAAGGAGAGACTGAGGATATGAATAGAATAGCCATGAAGGTCATAGTTTGTTATATTAGACTCCTTCAATAGAAGGAAAATGCTTTCCTCAATTGGAAAGTTACCTGAGAAAGGATTTATCCCTAAGGCAGACACTATTTATTACTTCAGGAGTGCTGTTTTTTTTTTTTTTACTGTTTTTTTTTTATTTTTTTAATTTTGTTGTTGTTGTTACTTTGCTTGTTTTGTTTTGTTTTATTTTTTTCTGAAAGTTGAATATATATTAGAAGAGGCTTACCAACTCTGTTAAAAATAAAGGTAAATTCCCAAACTATAAAAATGACAGACTTCTTTATTGTTTTCTGTCTATTACCAATCAATAAAGGTAAGCATAATAATTAATCTAATTTTAAAATAGGTAAACATGGACTAATTTTGACAAGTATAGAATTTATTTTTATATCTACTTTTTATCTTTATCAACATGAACAATAAGAAATATTTAAAATTTAAAAGGAACCCTTGGTTGTTGGTTACTTTTTCAATTCCATGATGCTCTTATAGATTACATTTGTACTCTAGTGATTTTTGCTATTATTAGGTAAACTGAGAGCAAAATGAAAAATCCTTTTCAATAAAAGGAAGCAGCATGAAAGATTATTGTCATCATCATCATCTTCTTATGTGTTAATATTTGCTAAATAATTGTGTGATAAGCATGTATTTAACTATTTTACATCAACAATATCCAGAAATCTTATCTTGTGCCAACCCAAATATATATACTAAGTGAGCAAAATATTGAATACACAGTATTAAAATGACTTTGCATTCTACTAATATTAGAAAGGTTCCTGCTTGGTAATAGTCACAATCCATGATAAATATATCTAAGAAGACAGAGAGGGGCTCGGGTTGTGGCTCAGCGGTAGAGCGCTTGCCTCACATGTGAGGCACTGAGTTTGAACCTCAGTACCACATAAAACAAATAAATAAACAAAATAAAGGTATTGTGTCCATCTACAACTAAAAAGAAATTAAGAAAATAAATAAAATAAAATGACAGAGAGATGTTAGCATGATTTTTTTTTAATCATTAGAGATTTCTGGCAGAAACTCATCCTTCTGATTGTTTACACTGGTATCTACTTTTATTTCTTATTTATAATTTGATCCCAACCACTTGCTCTTGATATAAGTATTATGTACAATAGAAGCTTTAATTCAACTCCACACTATTTACACCAGAGAAGATCATTGTTTCAAAGGGAATAACCATTAAATAAACATGAACTATCTGAGCAAAACAAACAGCGACATCAGGCTGAATTATTAATAACTTTCTCTCTTAGAAGTATAAATAGAAGTTTCTAA